TTTGAAAACAAAATTCAGTATTAGGCGCACTATTTACCACCAGTCAGGAATCATTTGTCCTGCACTCTCACTCCCCGTCATTCTGTCATCTGTAACTTCAGGGCTTCGCTTAAGCCTTTGAGAATTCCCTGTGTGCTCACACAGGTCATGTCAGTGCGCCAGCTCAGTTACCAAACCAATCCCCACGTATCATCCACAGGTCAATGTGACTGTGAATCTGTAGCTAGGTCAACAGTTCCCCCTGTCTCACGCTATAACCAGGGCCGAACAATTGTAGCATCTTGGCCTCGTGCTTCTATTTTGAACTATAGACCTGCCTATGTGGCTACCCAAAAGACCCATAACTGAAGCTAAGTTACTCAGAACTCTCTTGGACAGATTCTGGTCTCAGAATTCACCCAGCCATTAGATGAAACCATTTCAATGTGCTCTTCGTACCTGCAGTTACCAGAATTTCTCTGTACTTGACAAGAGCTTTCTTGATTTGCCAGAAAATCAGTACTCTTCACCCACCTTCTTCACTTCTTAATTGAGTCCCCAAGAATTATCCCATGGATTTAAACTCCGGTCTCCCAAAGTGGAAATTGGCTTTAATAGTACCTTGTCGGCCATGCATGGAGATAACCTAAGACCCCTGCACAGATGTAGTCCATGGCAGTTCAGCGTCCAAGTGAGTTCCATTGCAATAGGAACAGGGACTGTCTCTGACATGAACTGATTGGCCTGCTCCTTAATTATCTCCCCCTGAGCGGGGGAGCAGCCTTACCAGGCCACAGAAGAAGACAATGCAGCCACTTCTGATGTGATCTGATAGACTAGTATCAGAAGGAAGGAAAAGAAGACCTCCCCTATCAGTGGACTTGGGGAGGGGCATGCATGCAGAGGGAAGAGGAAGGGAGGGATTGGGATGGGAGAAGGAAGGAAGGAAACCATAGGGGGGATATAAAGTGAATAAAGTGTAATTAATAAAGAATAAAAATGTTATTTATATGAAAAATGGGACATATAATTCAATCATTGTTAAAGAATAAAATAAGGCTGCTTTTAAAAAAATAATACCTTGTCATGAACTGACACCTTAGTTTGCCTTCCTTACTCCCCTACTAGTGTTATGCTCATCTCCAAATCAACTTTTAAAATTTCAGTCCTTGTCTTAGGATTGCATGCATTTACCATCTCTAGTACCAGATCTGTTTCCCAGGATCCTCTCTCTCATTGAGTACACCCCATCCACCCTGACACATGAATCAGCCGCTCCCCTTTCTCCTCTCCCCAATCGTTAGTTGATTATACATCCTGGCTCCAGTTCCTATTCTTCATTGGTGCCTACACTAACTTGACTCCATCCTGTATTATTGCAAAAATAGACAGTCTCCCTTTGCCTCCCAGCCACCAATCTCACCTACCCTCCTCAATCATTTGTTGACATCAAACAACAAACCATTCAGTCCTCAATCTATACCTTACTTTATCACTTCATTGTTTAATACCCTTTAATATACCATTTATTATAATGAAAAACTCCTTTATAGAACAGACCAGGGACCTCAAGGGACACACAGCCACATTCTCTGCTGTTCCACACATTCACCATTCCAAATTCACAAAATACTGACAATGTCTAGGTGACACTTATATCCAAGTATCGATACCTGTTGTTCTTTCCATTTATAATGCCTTCCTCTTATTTCAAAGAGCTCCTGTTCATCTCCCAGCATTTTGTTGCTGTCATAATGTCTGTTCAAGCTTTCTTGACTTCTCTGCCCTACATCATTCCCCACTCTTCCTGGTAGCTGTTCACCTAGCCCATTTCATAGCTTATCAAGTATCAGAGTTTAGCATGGTGTATTAAACTTTACTCATCAGTGTGCAAAATGGGGTGAGCAACCATGTATTAACCATCTCCCTAAGTGACATTTTAAACTCAGTGACTGGGTAATGAGTATGTGCAGATATTTAAATAAATATTGGTTTATATTCACTATTTAATTTTAAACATATATGGTTACATAGTTAATTTATACTTTATTTATATAAGTGTATATTTGTTATTTAGAGTCACCAAGTATTAAAATTACAGATTTCAAAAACCACCTTTAACCTACCGTAGAAGATTGTTATCACATTTTCCTGCAGTTTATCATTCCCTGTCTTTCTACTTTCTTAAGCACTTTTTCCATATTAATGCCCCACTTCTTCCCCAAAGCACCCTCTTAACCTCCAAACCAGACCAACCTTTATGGAACCCCCCTCTCTCTCTCCAAAGACAACATCAGTAGAAATGTAGAAAGATGCTACTGTACATTTCCTTGGTAATGGGAGTCAAAATGCCTGTTTATTATGCTTTCATTTGTCTGAATCAATATAATCATTCTTGAAAGTATAGAAACCTCAAAGGGCAGTTATATGAATTATAACTGCCAGCGCGGATCAAACACTAACCAGCATTGTGATGAAGCCAACAAAAGAAACAGGCTAGTAATTGCTTTGCAGGATATATGTCAAGTCTCTACCTTATACACACTCTCCCCCACAGCACACACAAAACCTTTATGAGTCTTTTATCCGTGAACCATGAACTTTTTCAATTATAATTACCCAGCTGTGTCTTTAGTTGTATTCAAGCCAGGTTCTGGCAACTGAGACTTCACATGAACTCTGAACAGAGTAAGTCCTCAGCTAAATGACTGAAGACATGTTCATAGGCAAATATTTCCACAGGTACTGTGTACTCTAGGGTGATTTAAACTCCCAGATCCTATCTGAAAAAAAAAAAAAAAAAAAAAAAAAAAAAAAAAAAAAAAAAAAAAAAACAGGAAGATGTATGTGCTGTTGGTAATCATTATTATCCACTCTCAAAATTTGGTATTGTATTTTTCTGTCTCTGTAACAACTGACTTTTCATTAAATGAACTCTTTCTTTTTTAATTTATTTAGTTTTTTTATTAATTGTAGTTTATTCACTTTGTATCCCATCTGTAGCCCCCTCCCTCATCCTCTCCCAATCGCACCCTCCCTCCCTCATCTCCTCTCTGCCCTTCTCCAAGTCCACCGATATGGATAGTCTTCCTCCCCTTCCATCTGATCCTAGTCTATCAAGTCTCATCAGGAGTGGCTGCATTGTCTTCCTCTGTGGCCTGGTAAGGCTACACCCCCCTCAGGGGGAGGTGATCAAAGAGCAGGCCACTGAGTTCATGTCAGAGACAGTCCCTGTAAATGAACTCTTTCAGAAAAGGAAAATATAGTATGAAGTGTGGGTACTACCAGGGTGATTTCCACTGCTACTGCATTGTTCATGAGGTCACAGTATTGTGGGGTACATACAGAAATAACCTAAACATTTAAAATCAGTACAAGATATTTTAGCTGAAACTGGATACATGTTACTCATCTTCACACAAATGCAATTCTAACTATATATATTAATATATCTATATATTAATGAAAGAAGTCCACAAAATGTGCACAGAAGTCATAATTTGGCCCTGGATAATATCACATTAAGTTTGCATCACCTCATGGTTAGAAGGGAGGTTTCCAAATGCAAGCGCATATTAGTTATGAACAGGTGGATAAGGTGAGAGCTCTCTTAAGTATTTTTTGTTCTTGCGGTCACCCCAAATTCTATTAGAGGAAAGCCATGATTAATATCTACGTCGTTCAGGCTTGAAGGGGCTTGAGTGTACAAAGAACTGTAAGATTCATACTGTTCTCTGATCTGCTTAAAGTATTTCCGGCTATACCATTCTCTCTCAAATATTGTCATTCTGTTCTGATTAATAGAAAAAAAAAACTCTACATCTTTGAGGATTCATTAAACCAATGCATTTGCCTCCTTTGCCTTCTCAAAGGATTTTAAAAAGACTTAGATTTAAAAGAATTTTGTTGACCAGTAAAACCATTGATTTGTACTATATGCTTTTGGCTCAGCAACCAAGTATTCATCATGTTTGTAACTCCAGCTCTTACATAGCCCAGAGTCTGGCCAACACTAGGTACATAATAAATGTTACATTAATATGTGAATCAAATCTTGATTGGAAATGATACTCTGTTTCGGGACTAATTTTGTCTTTGCTAATGCCCTGCCTTGCCAGTGCCATCTCTGACCTCGACCTCCATCTCCTGAGGCACATTAGAGTGGTAGCCGCTCCTTCCTAATGCCCCTGTTTCCATCAGTCACAGTTTCCTTTCCAGGGCTCTGCACTTCTTTCCATCCTAAGGTCTAGAATGGTCCCAGCTCCCCTGGAACAGCAGGGCCCCCACTCCTCAGGGCCTTGCCAATAGAAGCACGCGTGCACTCGCGTTCGAGCTCTCTCGCGGGCGCGGGCGCGGGCGCGCGCGCGCACACACGCACACACACACACTCACACACACACTCACACACACACGCACGCACACCTTGCTTCCAGCTCCCCAGCTTCTGTCACCCCGCACCGCCCACAACCACGCCCTCCCTGTGGGCGAGATCACCTGTCCCTCCTCTGCCGCCTCCTCCGCGGGTACCCTTTCGGCCACCCCCTCCCGCTCTCCTTGCTCCGCCACCTCCTCCAAGCCCTCCCCTTCCCCGCCTCCTCCCACCCCTTGGTGTATATAGTAAAAGGCCAGGCGCTGCACGCAGACACACACTCTCCGGGACACAGGCACGCACCCAACCCGCAGCAACGGCAGCTACAGCAGCTCGGTGACAGTGACCACAGAGGCTCCCACCGCTGTGCACCCCCTTCAGGCTGCCGGCAGCGAGGAGAGTTCCCACACCAGAGACCACCCCGCGGCTTCCTGGAGGCGGCGGCCCCGATCGTGAGGTAGCGGCTGCCGCACCCTGGTGCGGGTAGGGGTCACCGCCGCCCTCCCCAGGCGGACCTGCTACCGGGACGCAGGGGGCGCGCCAAGCTGGGCGCGCCTGGCGGGGCCCGGAGTCCGGGGAGGGGCCTGCCTGCTCCTGGGGGCAGGACGGCGCCCGGAGGCCGGGGCCAACGGGGAGGGCGGGGACGGGGACGCCGGCCGAGACTACCAGTAGTGCAGTGCGCCCAGGCCCGGCTCCTGCTGGCCGGCGCCACGCACTGGCCGGCCCGGCCAGGGACAGTCTAGAAGGCAGCGCCGGCCAGTGGGGCGGGGGCCCCGAAGTAGGTTTCAGGCCACCACCCGCGCTGGCAGTGGGCACAGAGGGCACCGCGCAGCGCGCTCCGTGCCTGGGCACCTCACTGGGCTTGTCTCGGTATCTGCTATGCTGCCCCAGCCAGGAAAACCCGGCGACTTCCAGGCCCTTCGAAAGATGGATTCTGTTGACGTATCTGGCGGCCCTGGCGAGCAGGGTGGAAAGTTGGGTTTTGCCAGATCGTACTGGGATCCTCTTTGTGCTGCTCTGCAAGTCCCGCATCCCGCTGCACCAGGGTGAGTGCGTGTCGGCGCCCCGGGACCCCGGTGCCCCACATTGCCCAGACCCAGGGTAGCCACACCAGCCCCAGCTTTCTGCCATGTTAGGCACCAAGCAGCGTTCTCACTGCATATTTTTTTTATGCGTACGTTTCAGTGGCGTCTTTTGATGCGGAGGGAGTTATTGCCTCCCTGCGAATTGGCTTTTTTCGGGGTTGGGGTTGTGTCTTCTCTTGTGTTTGCTTGTTTGCCATTTAAACCCCGACTATTGTTCAGGATAAGCTCCGCCTGGGTGGGGAAATGGCATCCCATCACAGTTGTTGGCGAGGGGTCGAAATGTTGCCAAACAGCTGCTGCTTTGTGTTTCACTATCCGAAGTCCGCGGAGCAGGTTTGGGGCACGACGGATGGGTGGAGAGACAGATAGGGCATTGAAGGAAGAAGGCGGCTTTAGGAAGAGCGACTTGTCACCCACCCCATGGCACTCAGTCAGCCACCCTTCTGACTGCCAAACTTTTATGAATATTTCTCTTGTGGAAGAGAGAAGCCTAATGAATGTAGACCGTTTTTAAGAGGAGGCAGTCCAGTTTTCACAATGGTTTGGGAACTTAATCAATGAGAAAGGGAGGGGAGGAGGCAAAGGCAGTGACACCATAGCAGGGATGGGGCTGTAGCTGCTTCTAAAGAGTCAGGTAGAGAAGTGGGTAGGGGTGGGCAGGGGCACAGGGCCTGGTGTCCGAGTTCCTACAACTATTGGTAGCTCTTACCTGTCTACCAACCACTCCTGTGCCCTGGCCTCTAGGCTGCCTGGACCTGGCAATGGGCTTGAGAGGTGGCTTGCAGCAGGCAGGCAGCGAGAGGGCCAGCCTCCCTCATCTGGCGTTTTTAAGGATGTGTAAATATTTTGCTGAGGATAAGTGACATCAACAGAATGATATTCTGCAGAGCCCGGGTGTGCAGCGATAATAAATAGATACAGCCAAACAAAGTTTTGATAACCGCATATTCTCATGGCTTGCTCTGTTTCTTTGGTCTTTGTTTTGTTGCTTTAGCATTATCTTGCGTCCTCTGGTGTGATCCCTTTATTTAGCCAGTTCTTGGAAGCTTCTCTTTGGAACCCAGAGAAAATCAGCCAGCAGGGAGAAAACAGTTCTTAGCCTCTCCTGCACCAGACAAGATTTTCATTGCTTTCCCAGGGCCTCTTTTCCATCGTTTTCTAGCTGTCTTTGCTTCTCGGCTTTTGAATTATTGCAATTGTGTGCTGGTAGACCAAGAGACTTCAGCTAACTTTGAAAACGTGCTGTGGCAGAGCCTTTGTTATAGTGGTATACCAGGGGGAGAGTAGAGAGAATAGTGGTCAAAGAGCCCCTCCCTAGGGTGGTACTATGGGGGTAGGTGGCACCCACCCCCTGAGGTTTTTTTTTTTTTTTTTTCTATTTTCTCCCAAAAGGGAAACGTGGGAAGCTGTGCTACTTTCAGAAGCAAGGATGGGTCCGAAGGCACAGAATTATCAGCCAGAAGCCTGGTAGCATCCCATTTTCTCTGATCTTTAGAAGCTACTACCCAATTTCAGACAGCTCCACCCCCTCCCCACAAATAACACTGTATTCTGCAAATGTCTATTCCCTTCTCAGCCTGACAGATGTCAACTGGGTGCATGCACAAGGTGGCTCTGGCACTTTGAGCCAAGTCACACTGAAACATGTGGGACAGGGAGGTGCTGACTGTTTTGGCACTGACTCAGGGGATCATTCAGCCTACCTAAGGGGGCTCCTTTATTATTCAAAGAATCCAAGACCACCTGCAGGGAGGTTTGGCCCAGGAAAACCAGCTCAACTCGGGAGCAAATGAGAAAACACTTTCCCAGGTGGTGCCAGTTGCTTGCTTGAGAGCAGGCTGATGGGCACTTAGGCACGTATAAAATCAACTACAATCTTTTATCCAGCTACACACATGGTGTGCACAGAAGCCACCGGGAGAAAATAGCAAGTGTCTATTCTCTGGCTCCTCCTCTTAGATTAGTGGGGAGGAAGGAAGTGGAGATAAATACATTGGAAGGGAAGCTAATATTTGTTCTTGCTCTGTCTGCCAGGCACTGGCTATGTGGCAAATCTTCTCAGTGACCGTGGGACCCCTGTGAAACATTATTTAACAGATAATCCTCAGGGACATTGTCAGTGCTGATCTGAATCTAGACTTTGGTGGTTATGATTTAATGCAACAATATGTCTCTCTCCCCCTGCTCAAAGCTCCTTATTTCTTTTTCCCAAATTCCAGAGTCCTCAATCAATACCTCCTTCATAAAATATGGCACCTAATTAGTGTGGTGCCCGGAGGAGGCACCACCAGTGGAGGCAGCCATTCCATCGTGATGCACATGCATGCGGAGTAGATCCAAACCAGACCCTAACTACTGCAGACGGTGCTCTCTCATTTAAGAGCCCCCCAAACCTATCTTTGGTAGATAAATGAAAGTCGAGTGACCAAATGATGGAGTCGATGGAGTGAATAGTGGTGGAAAGGGAACCATAAATCATTGTCAAGGGAGACAGAGCAGGAGAAATCCAGAAGTTTGTAGGTCTGATGAGGACTCGTAGTTTTTAGCGTCCTGTCCCAGTTTGAGGCCCATTCTGACAGGCCTGGTTTAATCTTTACGACACCTCTGTGAGACTGTGAGACTAGATTATTAATTTCATTATGCAGCTGGGAGAACTGAGGTGCTCAAAGGTCCATAGTGAGACTAAATAGGAGGTGAGATAGTTTTGAGTCTTATTCTCTCTCAAATACTAAGTAAATATGATAAAGGTATTTATTTGCTATGCAATTTCCTGGATTTCCTTCCAATCAGATGATAACCAATCAGATGACCCCAGAAATTCCCGAGCCACCAAAGAGCCAGGATTTGAATCCATAAGTGAGTGACTTCAGAGTGCCTCCTCTCTGATCAAAATATGAGGAGGACCTTAAAGAATGAGGCTTTCTATGAGAGGAAAGATGGCTAATTGCACTTTTCCCATGCACAAAAGCCTGTGTAGGCTTCTGAATTAAGCTTGATTTGGGGATCAGGGTGACATCCTTGCTGTAGAGTTGGAAGCTCTTTGTCTTTGGAGAATGCCTCTGATTGCCTCTTCTCCCTCCCACCTGATCATCTGCCTGGGTGCCCATCATCTCATTCTTTCTGCACTCATGGCCTCTCCTTTGTGACTCACAATTTTTGATGAGCCTCTTGAGTCTACTGCTCCTCTGTCCTTTGATGGCAGCTGGTAAGAAAGGCGTTTTGGCAGCAACATTAGTACTTCCGGATTTCACACATGACCCTTCTCTTTCTTGCCAAGAACACACAAAAAACACATATGCATGCACAGGTACAGACACAGGAACATGTAATTTGATCATGCTTCTGTATCTGAATCACCAAATTAAATTGCTAACCCACAATTGTTATTGGAAGATGTACTTGGCTTTGGTGATTTTCTGTCACAGCCCCTTTTTTGAACAAACGAGAACAGTTAATGTGGAGGTAGCTCAACCAGCAGCTGCCTAGAGCAATGCTCGTGGTACTTACTGCTTCCACCACAGCTGTGGAGCTGCCCTTGCAATATACACATGATCTGTTTTAGTTTGTTTGGGCTGCTGTAACCAAACTGGCTAAACTACATGCCTTTGAGCAATGGAAATTTATTACAGTTCCAGAGACTGGGTGAATCTAGGATCAGTTTGCAATCAAACTCTGTCTGATGGAGGGCCTTTCAAAATTCATACATATTGACTTCTCACTGTGTTGCCCCATGACAAAAGACACAAGTGAATTCTCTGGATGTTTCTCTCTGTTTCTGTCCCTCTCTCTCTGCGTCTATCTGTCTGTCTCTCTGTCTGTGTCTTTGTGTCTGTCTGTCAGTCTCTTCTCGCCCAGCCCCTCCCTCCCCCCACTACCCACCCAGTGCTAGGGACTGAATCAGGGCCTTGTGTGTGTTAGGAAAGTGTTTTGTGTTAGGAAAGTGTTCTACCACTGATCCACATCTTCTGGCCTTTGGGGTCTCTTTTATAAAGGCACTAATCCCTTTGATGAGGGTTCTGCTCTCATGATCTGATCATTTCTTAGAGCCTCCCACCCCATCCCTTGATCCCATTACCTTGGGGATTAAGATTTTGACAAATGAATTTCTCGAGGGTGGCAAATCTTCAGATCATGCCTCTTTTCTGTGGATTTCTTAAATGCCTATGTTAATCTCCACTGGGCTTCTAGAACATTCCAGTTCTCATAGTTTCAATTGCTATTGTTATCATCAGCTTTCACAATTCCACCCTTATGAGAATTATGAAGCACATCCTTTTCATGCCTGTCACTCCCATTCTGACAGCTTTTTAGCTTTTTACTTCAACACTAATAGAAAACTTAATAGTCATGGAAATATTCTATACAAATACTATGCCATACAAAAGCCATTGATACATATGGCTATGGACTGCTAGAAAACTATGCTGTATATATGCCCTGGATTTCTAAGAGTTAAAAAAAAGAATGCAAAAAGGTTCAGTTACCTTTTGAAATTATATTGTGATGTTTTGAAATGATATTTTGAATACACTGGTAAAATTGTATAGCATTAAAGTTAATATTGCTTATTTTAATTTTTTAATGTGACTCCTAGTACTTTCTAGATTGCTTACCTATTTCTATCAGACACCAGTGCTCTGGAGCAGGCAACCTTCAAAAAAAATGTAATGTCATAGAACCTGAAATATGCTGGGGATTGTGAAGCTAAACACCTCTGTCTCTGTGACAGATGGAAGGCCTTGTGCTGACTCAGTATGCACAATGGCTGACATTAAGACGATCGTGATCTTCAGAAACTAAGGTGGCATTTTGGGAATTCCCCAGTAGGCATGCCTGTAATCCTGTTCTGAGAAGTGTGGGCTGCAAAAACTGCTGCAGAAATCAAGTCAGGGTAGGGGGCTTAAAGGCTAGACTAGCTTGAACAAGATGGTCTTTTCCATTTCTTTTGCCCTCACTCCTCC